AGTCAGTCACAAAAGGACAAATATTGTATAAGACCACTATTATAAGAACTCAAGAAAAGGTTTAAACACAGAAGAAAACATTCTTTGATGGTTATGAGGGTGGGGAGGGAGGGTGAGTGTTATTCACTAACTAGATAGTAGACAAGAATTATTTTAGGTGAAGGGAAGGACAGCACACACTATAGGGGAAGTCAGCATAACTGGACTAAACTAAAGCTAAGAAGTTTCCTGAATACAACTGAACACTTCGAGGGACAGAGTAGCAGGGTTGGGGGTCCAGGGAGCATGCTTTCAGGGGACATCTGTCTAGGTCAATTGGCATGACGAAGTTTATTTAGAAAATGTTCTGCATCCTACTTTGGTGAGTGGCATTGGGGGTCTTAAAAGCTAGGGAGCAGCTATCTAAGATGCATCAATTGGTCCCAACTCACGTAGAGTAAAGGAGAATGAAGAACACCAAAGTCACAAAAAAAGTATTAGCCCAAGAGATAGAAAGGGCCACATAAACCAGAGAACTGCATCAGCCTGAGACCAGAAGAACTAGATGGTGCCTCGCTACCACCAATGACCGCCCAGAGAGGGAACACAACAGAGAGTCCCTGCTGGAGCAAGAGAAAAGTGAGATGCAGAACTCAAATTCTAGTAAAAAGATCAGACTTAATGGTCTCACTGAGACTGGAGGATCCCTGGAAAGCATGGCCTGTGGACTCTCTGTCAACGCAGAACTAAAACCATTCCTGAGGCCAACTCTTCAGACAAAGATTAGACTGGACTATGGGACATAAAATGATACTCATGAAGAGTGTGCTTCTTAGCTCAAGTAGATACACGAAACTAAATGGGCATCACCTGGCCAGAGGTGAGATGAGAAGGTGGAGAGGGTCAAGAGCTAGTTGAATGGACACAAGAAATCAGTGGTTGAAAGGAGGAGTGTGTTGTTACAGTATAGGGAGAGCAATTAGGATCACATAATAATGTATGTGGAAATATATGTATGAGAGACTAACTTGAATAGTAAACTTTCACTTAAAACAATAAAAAAATAAAATTTAAAAAAGAAATTAATAAAGATCTAAATAAATTGAAAGATTTAATATACAAAAAAAAGTCTGGGGTTCAAGAAAGATACGGGCTACATATAACGAGATAAGGGACGTTACCCTTGATGAGGCAGCAGAAGCCCTTGAGTGGCTAAGGTGGCCCAGAGAGAGGGTGGCAAGTGAGAAGGAGAGTCCTGGGAATGAAGAAAGAAGGGTCTGGAGTGAAGACGGTGGGTTCGCCTTGGCCAGGGAGAGGAACCACTCTTTGAGGCAGGAGAGAGGGCTGGCTGAAGATCCAGGAGAGACAGGGAGGAGCAGATGGGCCTTGTTTTGAGTGATCTGTTCCCCATTAGTGGCCTCTGTTTTCAGCGTGAAGGTGGAGGTGAGGCTTTGTCCTGAGAAGGGAGCAGTGAGCACATAAGAGACTTTAGGGGAGAATAGCCTGGAGTAACAACAGGAACCAAAGGGGCCGGGGGCTGTTTCCTAAGCCAGGAGAAAGGAAGCATTGAGCCTAGAAGCCTGCCCTTTTTAAGGCCTGCTGCTGGGCCACATTCTGGGACTCTGGGTGAGTCTGAGAAGTACCTTGTGGATGAGTTACCAAATAGCTCATTGACAGCCTCAAGCTGGAGGCAGGTGTAGGGGAGAGGCAGGGGCAGGGCATGGGGTCTCTGTGCTCACCGGCTCCTGAGTAGGCAGAGGTCCAGATCTAGTACCATGCACAGAGTAGGACCAGGATTCAATTCACCAAGGAGCTGCAGAACAGACACCAGGCCCCTGGACAGACAACGCTGAGCCCTAACATGGTACAGATAGTGGGAGGTAGAAGCAGACAGCTAGGCCCCTTGCCAGAGGTGGGGCAGTAAGTCCCTGGACAATTCCAGGAATATCAAACCAGATCCTAGGGAGGCTGAATCCAGCAGTTAGAATCCAAGGTAGAACCAGGAGAGCTGGTTCAAGAGTAAGAATTTTGAGGACAGAGTGATGTTGCAGAAAGAATATGTAGGACTTAGAGTCTGACAAACATGGATTTAAATGTTGGCTCTGTCACTAACTTGCTGGGGGAGATAGACAAACCACTTATATTCTCTGGCCCTCCAGTTCTCATCTGTAAAATAGGAATATTAAATAGGAATATTAAAATAGGAATATTAAAAAACTATTTCCTCTGGAGAAACCCCAGAAAACATGGCCCCCAGATTCTCTATCAGCCCAGAACTAAAACAATTTCCGAGGACAACTCTTTAGACAGGGATTGGACTGGACAGTGGGATATAAAGTGATACTCGTGAGGAGTGCGCCTCTTAGCTCAAGTAGATACAAGAGACTTAAACAGGCAGCTTCTGTCTTGAGGTAGGATGGGAAGGCAGAGAGGGTTAGGAGCTGGTTGAGTGGACATGGAGTATCAGGGGTGGAAAGCAGGAGTGTGCTGTCACAGTAAGGGGAGAGCAATTAGGGTCACATAACAATGGATGTATAAATTTTTGTATGGGAGACTAACTTGAAATGTAAACTTCATTTAAATTACAACAATAAAAAAAAAAAAAACTGTTCCCTAGGGTTGTGATGAGCATTAAATGAGATAACACATGTAACATTTTTAGCATAATGCCTAGCACACAGCAAGTACTCAGAAAACAGTATCTACTGTTATATTATTAATAGTCAGCCTATGCTTCGTCATTTATCCTGCAGATTTGGGTTTGTAAAGCCTGTTCTCCTCCATTGGCCTCATAAGGGCTCCATAGGAGGTGGGGTGGGTGCCCCTTTTTACAGACGAACCGATGAAGCCCAGAGAGAGGAAGTGGCTCTGCCCCGAGTCACATGGCTAAAATATTGCAGAGTCAGGAAGAGAACCTGAATGTCTCAAGTCCTGTGTTAGTGCTTCCAGAGAGCAATACTGTGTCTTGTTCACCACAGTGTCCCTAAAGCCAGACATTCAGTAAATGTCTGTTGAAGGAATGAGTGTGTGTGAGCAAGTGTGTGAGAAAGCAGTTGAGTGAATGAGTGAGTGAGCAAACGAATGAATGAATGAGAGGAGACTGAACTGAATGATGCCTTCAGACTCTGCTTCTTATGTTACGACTCAACCATGTGGCTGTGAGAGCCACGTGGCTACTTGCTCCGGCCATCCTGAGGGCCCGCCCACCTGAGACCTGGCGGTCTGAGCACTATTGTTTCCCCAGGAGAACAGTCTCAAGTCCGGGAAGGGGGCAGCTGCCATGATCCCAGGCCCACAGACGGTGGCCACGGAAATCCATTCTCTTTCTCCGGTAAGTGGGCAGTGCCAGCTCAGGCTAGGGGACTCAGCACTGAGAATGTGGGCATAGCTCCACAGATGGCCCGCTGCCAGTGCAGCGTTGAGCCCCAAAGGCTGCCCTTTTAAGTGTAGTACCAGGAAGCTGGATTGTTTTCAGATGCCCACAGGGTTCCCTGGTGCACACCAGAGTCTCATCTCGTCAGCTGCCCTCCACAACAGCCCCTCCTGCTCTCTCTCTGTTTCTCTCACACACACACTTGAGCTGGGCGTTGACAGTGTGGGAGTAAAATGGCCCTTCACCTTGTCACCTGTGACAGCTCTTTGCATCTGCTTTCCTTACTGACCTTACTGTTCAGAACGAGCACTAGACTAGGAGTCCAGAGGCTTGGATTCTGGACCTGGCTGTGTTGGTGGCCACCCCTGTGACCCTGAGTATGTCACTGTGCGGTCTCTTTCAGCTCTTGCATTCTACAAGTCTGTCATTCTCATCATCTAGCCCTGGAGAGAGCTTGTTCCTGGCTCTGACAGGTGGGGGATCAGGAGGGCTCTGTTTCCACCTTCGACCCCTCTGTTTGTTCTTCTAAGATTCTAGGATCCTTAAATTCTAGGGTACTATTAGGATTCTGAGCCTACAGCAATCTCAGGTTCTAGGTATCTTAGATTCCAGGGTTTGAGAATTTTATGGATCTAGGATTCTGAAAATTCCAGTATTCTTGAATTCTTAGACTCAGTGATTCCAAGCACCTTGGCTTCCAAACTTCACGTTCATGGGGCCCATCCTCTGCCCTTGGTTTACCCCATCCAGCCCCACCCCTTCAGAGTCCTGCGTCCTTACCTGACACCCGGGGTGGGGGGTGGTTATATTCTGCAGATCATCGGGAAAGATGTCCTCACCAGCACCTACGGCGCCACCGCGGAAACCCTCTCAACCTCCACCACCACCCATGTTACCAAAGTGAGTAGCAGCAAGGGCACCATACACTCCCATCCTGGCTGCAGGGGTTGGGAAGGTCACTTACCATTGCTGTGCTTTTTTTGGCTTCTTAATCAGTGAAGCAGACAAAGGATACCTATGGTGTTACCAGTTTCTTGAGTGCTGTCACTTTGTTCTGTGCTACATGTTGTCCTAGCCTTGGACGCTACCCTTATAGCATTTACAGCTGGGCGTGGGGGCAACAAGAGTATCACCTTTGAAGTGATCGTGAACCATGCGTTTGTGCCTTATAGACCTTAAGTTCTGGAAGAATTTAAAGGGGGCAGGGTAAAAAGAGTCTGGGAGCTTCAGAAAAGTCAGGAAGGGTCTCCTGGAAAAAGTGGGGTTTGAACAGGTCTTGGAAAGCCAGGTAGGACTTGTAAGAGAGGAGAAGACAGATACAGGCCTCCTAAGCAAAGCAGAAGATGGGAGCAGAAACTGTGTATTTGTTTGTTCATTCATTGAGCAAGTGTTAGTATCAGCCTTATGTCAGACTGTGCTAGGAGCTGCTGGAGGTGGCCATAAGCGATGCATGTTTGTGGGAAACAGGAGGAGCGGGCTCTATCAGGAAGAAGCAGCATGTAGGGGGTGTAACTGTGGGCAGTTAGGTTGGATTGAGGCCAGGGTAAGCAGACTATGCAGACAAATAAGACAAATACCAGAACACATCTGATTATGGAGACTCTGAGTCTGAGAGAAAATGGAAAGCTGTCAGTCAAGTTGTTTTAATTGGGGAGTGTCCCAGTGAAAACAGATTTAAGGAGATAAGATTGGGTCCACCAGGATGTGCAATAGATGGGAGAAAGAAGAGGAAGTATTATGGAGACTGATAAAAACTCAGACCTAAGGGCCGAGGGCCTGGGTCAGGGTGGGAGTCAGAATAGGGGAAGGACCAAAGAAGGGAGGCACTTCTGGGAGCATCCACATGACTCAGCCAATCAGGATAAAGGGCTGAGAGGCAGGTGGCTGATGCGTCCACAACTGAGTGGCCAGGAGGAAAACAGGAGGAATCCTAGACCAGGGATGGAGACCTGGAAGAGAGAGGCCAGGGAGCCAGGTTGAGCCGGAGGTTCTGATAAGCCATCCAAATGGAGAAGTCTGGTAGGCAGCACTGGCCCTTTGTGTACAAACACTGTCTCGGTCACTGCCTGCTCCTGTGCAGGACTCTGCACCTCTTTACATCTCCCAGAAAGATCACATTCTCACCAAAAGCATTCATGAGCAATGTCGACTTCACTGAAGGTTTTGTGGAAAGGTTTTACATCACACACCCCACAGCACACAGCTTAGTTAACTCTTCTTCCCGAAGTCCCTCTTGGCCCTGCCAACTGGTGCCCCCTTTTCTTTCTGTCTGCTCAATAGTGCCTCCCCACAAAGTTGCCTCCTGACTCCAGCTTGGATTTCCTTCAGCCACCACCCTCCTTTAATATGGTTCTATCACATCTTCTTCTAAACTTGCACCTAAACCCAACCCTTTCAGAAGTCAGCAGAGGGTATAAGTATCAACAATGAAATTTTCTCTTGTGGTATCGTTTGGAGTCATTTAAGGTAGAAGTTTGTCACCATTCACATTCCATTCATGTGTTCATTCAACAAATCTGCATTCAGCACCTGCCCTGGTCAGAGTGGACAGGGGAATTGATGGGGAGGGGGGTGGCAGGGGGGATACCGAGATGAACAAAACACAGGCCCTGCCCTAGTGAAGTGAGCAAGCCCACGTACATAAATAAGGTCAGTGCAAGGCAGAGAGGCCCAGAACCGTGAGAGACACAAACTTGGTGTTCAGGGAATCCCGGGGCAGGAAGGCAGAATCATTGTCAACCAGGATCAGGAAGACAGCATTGGAGCTGGGCTTGGAAGACCTAGATGGGACAGTTTGGTAGTTGGAGGAGTGGTGGCATCCAGGCAAGCTCTGCTCTCTGAAGTCCCAAAACCAGAAAAGGAAAAACTGAGGAAGCCAGGAGAGAAAGTAACGGCTGGTTCTCAGACTTGCCCTTGAGAGACACTTTGGATAGATCCCCTGTTATGGCTACTGCTCCCAGCAGGACCCAAGGGTGACCTTGCCTCCCTCTCCTCTGCAGACTGTGAAAGGAGGGTTTTCTGAGACAAGGATCGAGAAGCGAATCATCATTACTGGGGACGAAGATGTTGATCAAGACCAGGTATGGGGATAGGGAATGTTATTCCGAGTGACACTGCCCGGTCCCCAATCTCTTGCATATTGGGTTACCCATGGATGGCTGCCCGTAGGGCAAAAAAAGTATCCATTTCCTGCTGATCCTATCCTGACAAGTAGCCCCCAAGAAAGGGGCATTGAATAGGAGCCAGAAGGAGCCAGACAACCTGAGCTGTAGCCTCTCCCTTTAAGTCTATGGAACCACTGTCCCTCCCTGGGCCTCAGTTTCTCCAGCAGTGCAATAAGGGACTTGGATTACTTGGTTTCCAAGGTCTTTCACATATCTGATATTTCATGGTTCCTCACTTCACTGTTTTTTTCTGCCAGGCTCTAGCTTTAGCCATCAAGGAGGCCAAACTACAGCATCCTGACATGCTGGTAACCAAAGCTGTCGTATACAGAGAAACAGACCCATCCCCGGAGGAGAGGGACAAGAAGCCACAGGTAAGGCTTATGAGAAGTTCAGCAGCCATGACAGGGAGGAGGGAACAGTGGCAAAAATCTTCTGAAGGTCATTTCCATCTGAGAACCCAGCAAGTGGCTTGGTCTCTATCTCAGGTTTGAAACACCCCTCCCACTTCACAGCTTGTGGCTCAAAGGAATACGGTAGCTCTCCCACATATGACAAGTCAAAGTGGGGAGGAGAAGGAAGACTGGTTTCTCAGCTTCTTTGGGGTCTCAGGCTCCAAACCCAAAAAAGTGAATCCAGAAACGGTTAAGAAAAGGGGAGAGAGGGTTAACCGTGGGTACTGAGGTGGGATAGATAGAGGCAAGCTTGACCTCATTGATCAGGCCTACAAGCTAGAAGTCAGGAGAAGTCCTACTAGGCCCAATGCCATATAGTCCTGTCCCTGAGTCTCCATCTCCATCACAGGTCACTGGATGTTGCGAAGGGGATATGATGACCAGAGTTCTTGGTTCCATCTGTCTTGCCAGATAGCAAACCTTTGACCTCTCAGGCCCCCTGGTGCCAGAATCTTAGGGGCCTTGATATTTTAATGTTTCTTTATGGGCCATGAAGGCCATGGTGAAAAAGAGGGATAAGATGGTATGGCAGCATATAGGGCTTTACAGTGTGAATTGCGGGGAGGGCTTCTTTTAACCCCTCTGGAAATTTACTGAATTTTATCAGACCTGTAAAAAAAAAAAAATCTGACATTGTGTTGAGTGAAATAACCAAAACCAAATCCACTGCCACTGAGTTGATCCCGACTCATAGCGACCCTATAGGACAGAGTAGAACTGCTCTGTAGGGTTTCCAAGGAGCAGCTGGTGGATTCAAACTGTTGACCTTTTAGTTAACAGCCAAGCTCTTAACCACTGCGTCACCAGGGCTCCACTGAGTGAAATAGCCAGACACAAAAGAGTGCACCGTATGATTCCATTCATACGAAGTTCAAATATAGGAAACTAATCAACAACAATAAAACACAGAATAGTGGTTACTTCTGGGGTGTAGTGTTGACAGGGAAGAGACCCAAGGTAACCTTCTGGTGTGCTGGAAATGTTCTGTGTCTTGATCTGGGTGGTGGTTGTATGAGTGTACACATATGTGAAATTCACTGAGCTGTACACTTAGATGTGTACACTTTACACATTTCACATGTTATTCCACAATGAAAAACAAAATCCTTCTCAAAGGCCCCCCACAAATAACAAATCTCCACTCTACCCTTTTCCCTGAATGGGAACCAAGTTTTTCTAGAAAAATACAAGAATGTTTCTTTCTCTTCCTTTAATTACCACCCTTAATGTCAGAAGAGAAAGGACTGAAACATTTTCCTGCCACTTTGAAAGGCTGCTAATCCCTGGTCGAGACCAGTGCTGTCCAATAGAGCTTTCTGTGATGATGGAGTGCCCTTTCTGGGCTCTCCAATATGGTAGCCACTAGCCACACGTGGCTATTGAGCACTTGAAATTTGGCTGATTTGAGTTGAGATGTGCTTTAAGGGTAAAATACATGCAGGATTTTGAAGATTTAACATGAAAAAAAAAAGAATGTAAAATAACTCTAATAATTTTTGTATTGATCGCAATGTGAAATGATAATGTTTTTGGATATATTGGGTTAATTAAATAATTATTAAAATTAATTTCATCGGTTTCTCTTTACTTTTCAAATGTGGCTACTAGAAAATTTTAAATTCTATATATGGCTCACATCCTCTCTCTCTTTTTTAAATAATATTTTACTGTGTTTTTGGTGACAGTTTACACAGTAAATTAGGTTCCCATTGCTCATATTCTATTTTTGTTGGACAGTAGTGGTCAAAAGAAATGTAAGCTGAGCATGGGCAGAGCCTCCCTCCCAGCCTTCTTCAGGCTTTCGTTCAAGCGATCGTCACTCTTGTCCGCTCAGTTGTCCAGTTGTTCTTGCTTTTTCCCCTCCAGATCTCATCATGGTAGAGTGTATGACACTTGCCAAGCTGGTGCTGGATTGGCTGTATGACCTGGGGAGGAGCTTGTTTAAAATACAGATGCTAGAGAACTATCTCCGTAAACTCTGATTGAGTAGGCCTGGGCCAGGGCCTGAGAATCTGTATTGCTTGGGACTCTTTATTTATACGTCGATCCTTAAGAGAGTCTATGTACAGTGTAATGTAAGAACCACTGATGCAAAGAACTCTGTATTGGGAATCCAGAGACCTGGCTTTAATCTCAGCTATTCCTCTGACCCAGTATGTGACCATGGGTCAGTTTCTTCCTTTGTGGGAACTCAATTTCTTCCTTTGCGAAATGAAGAGATGGAGCAAGCACCTTTCCAGTTACAGTCCTCTGACTGTTGATATGCTTCCCTAGAGAGTCTGTTGTGTGTTTCTCAAGTGTCTTCTCCATTCCCGAACTTACTCCTCCTCATCGTTCCCAGGGCATTCACAGCCAGTCCCCAGGCTCCCCCTTGCCATTTTCCTTGGCCATTCAGTGCTCTCATCACAGCCTCCACATCCTGCCCACCCCACCACCATGCAGTCTTTTACGTCTGCCCACCTCATGGCTTACTTTGCTGTCTCATTTCCTTCTCCTCACTCCTCCTTTAGTTCTTTGTTTGATACCATTGCCCCATGCACCACCATGCACCCTATGTCTCTCTTTTGGATCCTTCTGTAAAGGTCACCTTGTTTATGTGGCCCTGGAGAGACAGAAGTATCTCCCTTGCCTGTTCTGCCCACACACCTTATCGTTAGTTATAGCCAAGTAGGAACTACCTGTGACTGTTAGCATAGTCAGACCTCACTAATTCTGGCGGGGAGGGGGTCTTCTCTGAATTAGGAAACTCCTTCTTTTTAAAAAAAAGTTAGGTGTATTAATGTGGGTTTAAAAATTATGTTTTAAGTTTTTTGTGGTAAAATACTATATATAATATAAAATTAGCCATTTTAATCATTTCTAAATGTACATTTCAATGGCATTAATGACATTCCAGTGTTGTGCATTCATCACCACTATCTATTTCCAAAACTTTTTCATTACCCCAAACAATGGGGTAATAAGCATTAAGTAACAACTCTCTGTTCTCCCCTCTCTCCACCTGGCAACCACTAATCTATTTTCTGTCTCTCTCTATAGATTTCCCTGTTCTGGACATTTCATATAAATGGAATCATACAATATGTGACTGGCTTCTTGCACTCAGAATAATGTTCTTAAGGTTCATCCATGTTGCAGCATGTATCAGTACTCCATTAGAAAACTCCTTTTTAAAGTACTTGAAAAACGTTGGTCTTTTTGGTAACCCAAGGAACAATTCTGCAGTCCTCTAGACCTGAATGCATGTCTCAGCCCTGCCCTTTATTAACTATGTGACCTTGGCCTGGTTATTTAACCACATCAGCCTATGTTTCTTTATCAGCCAGATGACAATAGTAATTATAGTAATAACAATTGCTGTTATGTATGGACTGCTTATTCTCTTCCAGGGACCGTGCTGTACACTTGATGTAAATATTATTATCTGCTCATTTCACTGTGCTTCCTCACTTTACAAATGAGGAAACCAAGTCTCAGAGACATTGGTGACTTGTCTAAAGTCATGGAGTTGGGGAAGTTATGGATTGATTAGAAATTCAAACCTTCTCTGTTAGATTTCAAACCATCCTATGGTCTTAACCTCCTCACCACACTGACTTTTCATAGGATCTCCCTCATAGGGTTACTGAAGTCACACATAGAAGGTAGTTAGCACAGTGCCTGGCACATAGTAAATGCTCAATAAAAGTTAATTATGACTATTATTACTATTAACTAGAAGTATGCTAACAAAATGCTGCACATAGGGGCCCTGCTGTAATAAGCTGAGAAGAATAAATTTTAACTAGGCCTTGTTTAGAATTCCCTCATGCTTCTGAAGTGTCCATGGGCTTTTAAAGACACCCTACACACCCAGAATCATGTTTACACAGATTTCTAGGGCAGGTACTTTATTAACCGATGAGCAAACTTAGGCTGCGACCTGCTACTCTAAGAAAAAAAAAAAAGTCCCCAATTAGGAAATAGCAGAATTGAGTAGAAAGAACATATCCAGGCTGTGTGCTCTGAGGAAGCTCTCTGGGCCTCAGTTTCCTCATCTGTAAAATGGAGTTAATTGTTCCTACCTCAGGAGCTGCTGTGACCTAATGGGATGGTGTCTCACATACAGAGGGTGCTCAGCAAGTATGAACCTGCTTGTCCTTCTGATATTTTGCTATGTTTAAGGATTGATGAGAGCCCTGAGGAAGTCAGACCATAAACTTCCCCCACCAGCCTGGGGCACAAGACCCTGTTTCCACCTGAGCGTCCATCCTCCCAGTCTTCATATTCTCTCCCCTCACTGAATCCTTCAGGAACATCTGTCCCTGCCTCAGTTGACTCTAGGCCTTCCTTCCTGAAGTTCTTTCTCCTTGCGGTTCTTGCTGTGGGTGTGGAGAGCACACCTGTCTTACACAGAACCTTTTCTTTCCCTACAACCTCACAGGCCAAACATATGGTTTCTGCTCCATGTTCTCCCACTGGCTGGCCTCCTTCAGACAGGGCCTGTCTCCCAAATACTGCCAGCAAGCGGGTAGCACCTAGCCCAGCTTCCTAACCTTCAAAATTTTAATGAAATGAGGGGGCAAAAAATTGTCCTGTTCCGAAGTAGGAGTCTTGGATTCTAGTCTTGGTGGTGCTACCAACTTGCTAAGTCACTGAACCCTTCTGGACCTCAGTTTTCCTATCTGTCAAATGAACCAAGAAGGATTCCTCTTCTATGACTCTATGAGCACTTGACCATGTAGGTGGTAAAAGACTGGAATGATACATCCATCTATTACATGTTTTTGAGTATTGCTATGTGCTGGGCACTGGAGAGACAAAGATAACTAAAAGACAGCCCTGGCCCTCAAGGAGCTTGGAATAGTGGTTGGTTAAGTTAATAACAACAACACTAGTAATAATAACAGCCAGTATTCATTCCGCACTTAGTATATGCTGGACGCTTGCTTTGAATTCTCCCTGTAACCCCATGAGGCCGAACCCATTTTACAGAGGAAAAAACTGAGGCTTACAGAGGTTAAGAAACTTGCTTACGATTACAGAGCTAGTGAGCTAGGGAGCGGGATTTGAACTCAGGGAGTCTGTTTTCAGAGCCCACATTCTTAACCACTAACTTTTGGAGTCACACAAACCTGAGTTAGAATCCAGGCTCCAGTTTCTTTATTTAAACACTGCTCTCTGGGATTTAATCCCCATAACATAGCAGCCTGTACTAAAAAAGCCCACAGGGAAAAAAGGAAAGTAAAAAAAGAACATCTGCAATCATGACTAAACATTTCTTAGAATGGAGAAAAGATGGGAAGAAAAAGTGAAAGGATTGTGATCTTAGCTACTCAGTGTTACAGGAAACTTTAATAAATTTTCAGTGGCAAAACAAAAGATACTAATTCCATGGAAACAAACAAGCAAACAAAAACATATGGGCATTGGAGTCAGAGAGATGTGGGATCAGATCTCTGCTGCCATTTACAAGCTGTGTGGCCTTGGACAAGTCACTTTACTGAGCCATATGCCTGGCACACAGTAAAGGTTAGCTAAAAAACCACTTGCTATGTATTTAAAAATGAATGACAACTTGTACACCAGTATTCACTGAAGCACTATTCACAATAGCCAAAAGATGGAAACCACCCAAATGTCTATCAACAGATGAATGGATAAACAAAATGTGGTATATCCGTACAATGGAATATCATTCAGCCAGAAAAAGGAATGAAGTACTGATACACACTAACCACATGGGTGATCCTTGAAATCTTTATGCTGAGTGAAAATAAGCCAGACACAAAGGACAAATACTGTATGATTCTACTTATATGAAATATCTAGAATACACAAATAGAGACAGAAAGTAGATGAGTGGTTACCATGGGCTGGGGAGAGGGGGTAATGAGGAGTCAGTGCTTAGTGGGTATAGAGTTTCTGTTCTGGGTGATGGAAAAGTTTTGAAACAGATAGTGATGATGGTTGTACCACATTGTGAAAATAATTAGTGCTACAGAGTTAGACACTTAAAATGGTTGAAATGGCAAATTTTATGTTATATATATTTTACCACAATTAAACAGAACGAATGACAAAAAGTTCCTAACTTTTCTTATCCTCCTCCTTTCTCCTCTTCCCCTGTCTCACCTTCCCCCACCCCATACCTTTGGCTCCCAGGAATCCTGACCTCTGTGAAGAGATGCTGGCATTTCTGGTCCAAGCCAAGCCAGAGAACCGTTAAGAAGGGGCCTTCATTCTGGATTCTCCGACTCAACACCAGTGTCCCAGCAGTGATGTACTGTCCCTGATGAAAGACTGGGAAAGGAAAAGCATATATATATAGATATATATAGATATAGATATATATACAGGAAACACCGCGTCCTTGCACTGCTGCTGGGGCTGGTGGAGCAGTCAGCGACAGCAACAACCAACATCTGAACACCTACATTTTCCTTTGCAGACAAATTGAAGAATTGGTGGAATTTTTCAGGAAAAAACAATTTATGACAACAATAATCCCTCGCTCTGCAATTCCCCTGCCTAATGACAAAAGCAAGCCAGACCATTATGATTGTAGAAGTACAATATGACTCTGGTTCTGCACGTTACATTTAGTGGACGAGCGTTCCATTTGTTCTTCCCCAGCATCTGTTGCCCACTTGAATGCAAAGGAAAACACTTTTGCAGCAAAGCAAGAGAAGTCGCAGCAGCAAGACACGCACAGTCAAACATTTTCCAAGAGAGAAAATTCCCTACTTAGGAGGAGGAGGAACACTGGATTATTATTTTTTGGGTCTTGACACTGGGCTGCAAAATCCACCTTCCTTTCTACCACCTCCCTTCACCCTCAACTCTCACGCGTCTTGTTGTCATTTTCTGTCTCGGCTCCCTCCTCCCACTTCCCCAACCCCTACCCCTCACCCTCTGTGTCCTGGCCCTGCTGAGGGCCACCACAGATAATTCTCATTTGAAAAGAGAGAAAGAAAAGAAAAGAAAGCAAGAACAGAAAACCAAGCCACAGAAGGGAAGTAGACATTGTATTTTTATGGTTTCTCATTATGAAGGTGCAGCTTGTAGGAGATTTGTATGGATGTGCTTTTAAGTTATGTATATTACATATAACAGGAAACAAATATTAAAATAAACAGTGCTGGTAAGTATGAAGCTGACATTTTAAAATTATAATTATCTGACTGTGATTGATGTATCCCAAGGTTCCTAGATCTCACTGAACTGGCCCAGCTAAGGACAGCCGGACTCTGGGTGTTGGTTGGCTCACAGAAGGGGCTGCCGGATTCAGTGTAGTAATACAGTGTGTGGTGTTTGTAATTGGTTGATTGGTGGGGAAGAGTGGGGTCTCCAAATGGAGGGGAGGGGGTTGGCAAGAAGGAAGCAACACAAATGTAGTCCAGAACATGCCAGTCCATGATGCCTTCACCCCCAGGCATGGCAGCCAGGGCCTGGTCTGTGCTCAGGCATGAGGTCCAGTGTTAGGATTCGGCTGCTGAGGTCCCCCCAGCAGAGGTCCTTTGGCTCAGTCCCCCTACCTCTCTAGGGGACTTGCGTTGGTTTCTAGTCCTCTCTTTTTTGCCACATGTCTTACCCTTCTCTGACCACATTGCGGTCATGGAAAGGATGGTGGCTTTAACCTGGCTGTCTAAACATTCCCAGCTCAGTCTCTTCCTCTACCCCTCCCATATTCTGAATCATTTACTTCTTCCTGGGCTAGAGTAGCCATGGTAAAGAGGCCATGAACAGAGTGCGTCCCTGATAGGCCTAAACTGCATTTCCAAAGGCCCCAGAACAAGCTGAGGGTGAAAGGTGGTGTTACTCAAAGGCTCAATCTATGTATAAGGCCCTGGCTTTGGAGACCTACCCTTCCATCAGCATCTGAGCCCTGAGCCTGTGTCTTTGGAGTCCCAGAAATTGCCTTGAGACCACAGAAGCCCTTGGAGAAGATACTGTCCCAAGGTTGGCATTGCACTTGGGCACACACAGGCTTTCCCAGGCTTGCCTGCCAAAAGCTGCTTCCCTGAGCTGAGCAAGCCCCTGTCTGAGGGGAAGTGTCCCCACTGCACTTTAATTTCTCAGTCCCTTTTGACCTCCCCAGTCCTGCTTCTAAAGCAGCCAATAAATTTATTCAACACATGTTTATTGAGTACCTACCTGTGCCAGGTATCATTCTAGGGCTGAAGGAGAAAGTGTGAGGGGAGGGGAAGGACGTGGAAAGCCACCTGAGCGAGCCTTAGTATCTCCAACCGTGGCTGGTCCCTCTGACAGCATTTCCCCATTCTCTCCAAGTTATGGACTCTGCCATTGCCCAGGATAAACGCACCCGCTTGGCTTGCTTAGCAGGTACACCAACAACATACACACTTCACTGCTTAGCTGGTGCTGGCTCAGGAAAGCATTTGCCTCTGTGGACAAATGGGAAGGAGAACGGGCAGAGAGCCTTGCACCAGGGCCAGGCTCAGATGGCAGAGTCAGCCACCTTCCCCCTGGACCAGGCCAGTCGGCCCACCCTATCTCCCCTGAGTGCAGGGCACGCTTTCCACGCACCAGGTTCCTTTTACAATCCTGGTGGAGAAACCACAGAACCTTCTACCTTTCTCAGTTTGAGAACTCTCACTCTTTCTGGGCCAAGAAAGAAGCTGGTGTGGTTTCATCCTCTCTGGGCCACCCTGTCTTTGTAGGTGGCCTGAGCGGGCCGGGCACACCTCAGAGGAAGGATCTTTGTTCTGGGTTTTGCCTCTGACCCGCTCTCCCCGGAGTGTGTGACTTCAGGGCAGGGATGAGGTGACCAGGGTTTGTGGAGCTCTTCATCCCACGAGTGCTCTGACCTTCCTTCCACAGAGAGGCAGGTAGCGCCACCAGGGAGGAGGGGAGCGGCAAAGCTGAATCTAGGGCACTGTTTCCTCCCCATCCTCCTCTTCAGAGAGAATATAGACACTTGTCTGTCTTCAACCTACTTTTCCTGTTTTGTCTTTTTTTACGCTTCTTATCCTTTCTATGCTGCCTCTCCACCCAGGAGGCTAAGTGGAAAAAGCCCCCAGGGGCAGTCAGGAGTTCTGGGTGGCCATCCTGGCTCAGCCTCTAACTCACCATGTGACGTCGGACTGGCCCCTTCCTTTTTTGGGCCTCAGTTTCCCCACTCACAAAATGAGCAAGTCGAACCAGATGCTCACCAGGGGCTTTTCCCACTCTGCCATCCTCCAGATCTTCATTTTCTCTTACTTTGCTTTCTCGGAATCTTTTCCATTGGGAAGGTACAGGAAGTGCCAGGACCTGTTTCAGTTTTTGAACCCTGCAAGCACATTCCAAGACTGGCCTGAAATTGCATGAGCAACATGACTCTAAATAATTTTTTTTTTCCAAAAGCACATTACAAACCAACTGCGATGCTGTCCTGTTCCTTTACTCACACCTCTCTCTCCTCTCTCGTCCCAGCGCTCCCCCACCTCAGTGCTCTGTGCTGTATGCGTGTGCTCTCTGTTCTTGTATACTCAATAAAAGTGAAATAAATGTGTTTGATGCTGAACCACAAACTGCCTTGGCATCTCTATTTCTGGCCTTGGCTAGCGGTACAAGCTGGCATAGTGGGAAGGGCTAAAACTGGGGTGGAGAAATCCCAACTTAGAATACTTTTATTCAACACATACTTGGAGCTCTCAATGTGTTCCAGGACTTGGGTTAGTCTCTGCAGATACAACAGCAAATAAGACGAAGTTGCTGGCCTCCAGGAACTCAAAGGCTAGTAGAGGAAACAGCAAAACCCGGAAGCTGTTTTGTCAAAGGCAGTTACAGAGGGATTATCACTGGGAGGGCAATACACAGGGGGAAGGGATGGAGGGTCACTGAAGGAGACCACTTTAAATAAGGTGGCCAGGGAAGGCCTCCCTGAGGAGGTGATTTTTTGGGCTGAATGAAGAGAAAATCCAGTAATGTGAAGAACTTGGGTGGGATCATTCTAGGCAGTGGGAACAATAAGTGTACAGGCAAGACACCGAGGGGTTTTATTCGTGAAGGAACAGCGTGGTCCTGCCTCTTCCTCAAAGAAGAGCACCTATGTTGGGGTCACTTCCTGTAACACCCCCTGCTCAGACATCTGCTTCTAGGAAGCCTGGTGGGTAATGTACGTGCAACCCCCTACGTCAGACTTTGCCTACCGCCTTCATGTATGTGGTCGTATCCCTGTATCACCTGTTTCATTATTGACTTATCTTTTTTCTTTAAATTGGCTAACTTTCAAAAACCAAGTTTATTTTAAAAGGAAAATATATTGCTTCCACAAATGGAAAACTAGTATCACTTGCCAAAGAAAGGTAGTCCTCATAAAAATATTAAAAAATCATAATCCATGTAAAACCCAAACTCATCTCTTGGACTATCTGAGGTGTACACTCCACACGTTCCTTTTTATTCTACCCAGGCACTACTAGCCCCAGACCACCTTTTTTTATTTCCCAAAATCTCACAATTTTTCTTCCAGTCTTTTTCCACATACATGTATTTTTTCAGAGTTGAAGTCACATTGTAAATAGCATTCTAAATATTTCTTTCACTTATATCCTGAGTATTTCCCCATAATGCCAAATACTAAATGGCTATTTCATTTCTTTGAAAAGGTAATCCATTAAATCATACAAAAGGCTATGCAGGATTCTGTTCTCTCCAGAACCGACTCCCACCCCACCCCATCTATTGCCAGAGGCAATTGCTACTAGGAGCTTTGTGAATCCTTTCCTGCATTTTCTCTGTAGGTTTCCTTTAGCTGTCTGTCACCCCCTGAGGTTCTGGGATAGAACTTGGTTTGCAAACATTGGGTCCCTACACAATTCCTTAGGACCCCACACACCCTGAATCTCTCTCTCGGCTCCCATTAATACAGGGCCAGCGTCTGTGCTTCTTGGGAATAATCTGGAGCTGGTTCATGCAGATCAATGGTTCTCAACTCGAGGAGGGGAGGCAATTTTGCCCCCCAGGGAATATTTGACAATGTCTGGAGACAGTATTAGTTATCATGACTGAGGGGCGCTACTGGTATCTAGGAGGTAGAGACCAGGGATGCTGCTAATTATCCTACAAGGCACAGGACAGCCTCCCACAGCAAAGAATTATCTGGCCCCAAATGTCAATAGTGCTGAGGTTGAGAAACCTTGATCTAGTTGGGCATGTGCCCCACAAGGTGAGATTCTCAGGTCACTATCTACAACTTCAGTGTTGAGTACCCCGGAGTCTCTGTGAAGATGCTGAGCCCACCTGGAATAGGGAGCTTTGATACCAGATCACAGAGTTCAGTATGTAAGACTGGGAATCGGGAGTGGAGGGAAGGAGCTAAGCTTCTTCTTGCAGGAAATGGAACTGACATGACAGGCTGAGATTGATACCATGACTGTGACTGATGGAGGCTGTCTCTAGTTAATCCTGCAGCAGCTCATAGTGATTAACCATGACTGCAGGGCTCAGTCTAGTCTGCAACCTAGTAAGAGAAGGATTTTGGCTGAGACTGATTGGTGTGGCCAGCTGTCACTAAGAAAGCGTGACAGGCAAGCTAAGGAGGAGCAGCACAGAGACAAGAACAGCCAGTCAGACCTTGGCTTGCATCTTAGCTCTGTCACTCTCTGGCTCTGTAACCTCTCTGAACCTCAGTTTTCTATTCTGTAAATTGGGACTATTAATACCTACTTACTAGGGTAAAGATTGTTGTTGTTAGGTGCCATGGAGTTGATTCTGACTCATAGCGACTCCATGTGACAGAGTAGAACTGCCCCACAGGGTTTTCTTGGCTGTAATCTTTACAGAAGCAGATTGCCAGGTCTTTCTTCCAAAAAGCCACCGGGTGGGTTCAGACTGCCAACCTTTTGGTTAGCAGCCAAGCACTTAATCATTGCACCACCAGGGTTCCTTCCTGTAAAGATTACAGCCTAGAAAGCCCTATGGGGCAGTTCTACTGTGTCACATAGAGTCCCTATGAGTTGAAATCCACTCGATGACACCTAACAACAAGAACAGAGCTAGTGCAGGGAGTAGAAATAATCTCTTAAGTAGTGGGATGAACTTGCATATGAGCAATTGATGGTCTGCTCCACAGTCGGCCCCGGCCTTGTTCAGACTGATGATATTGAGCTTTTCCATCATCTCTTTCCACAGATGTAGAAAATCAGAACAAGTCCACAACAGCCAAAGTACGACCTTGATTATATCCCACCTGAATTTAGAGACCATCTCAAGAACAGAATTGACATGTTGAACACTAATGACTGAAGACCAGACGAGTTGTGGAATGACATCAAGGACATCATGCATGAAGAAAGCAAGAGGTCATTGAAAAGACAGGAAAAGAAAGAAAAGACCAACATGGATATCAGAAGAGACTCTGAAACTTGCTCTTGAACATCAAGTAACTAAAGTGAAAGGAAGAAATGATGAAGTAAAACAACTGAACAGAAGATTTCAAAGGGCAGCTCGAGAAGACTAAGTAAAGTATTATAATGCCAGATGCAAAGAGCTGGGGTTAGAAAACCAAAAGGGAAGAATATGCTCGGCATTTCTCAAGCTGAAAGAACTGATGAAAAAATTCAAACCTTGAGTAGCAATACTGAAGGATTCTATGGCGAAAATGTTAAACGATGCAGGAAGTATCAAAGAAAGATGGAAGGAATACACAGAGTCACTATACCAAAAAGAATTGGTCAATGTTCCACCATTTCAGGAGGTAGCATATGATCAGGAACCAATGGTAGTGAAGGAAGAAGTCCAAGCTGCACTTGAAGGCATTGGCAAAAAAACAAGGCTCTAGGAATGGATGGAATACCAATTGAGATGTTTCAACAAACAGATGCAGTGCTGGAAGTGCTCACCCATCTATGCCAAGAAATTTGGAAGACAGCTACCTGGCCAACCGACTGGAAGAGATCCATATTTATGCCCATTCCCAAGAGAGGTGATCCAGCTGAATGCATAAATTACAGAATATCGTTAATATCACACACAAGTAAAATTTTGTTGAAGATCATTCAACAGTGGCTGAAGCAGTATATCAACAGGTAACTGCCAGAAATTCAGGCCGGATTCAGAAGAGGACGTAGAACCAGAGATATCATTGTTGTTGTCAGATGGATCCTGACTGAAAGCAGAGAATACAACAAAGATGTTTACCTGTGTTTTATTGACTATGCAAAGACATTTGACTGTGTAGATCATAACAAATTATGGATAACATTGTGAAGAATGGGAATTCCGGAACACTTAATTGTGCTCATGAGGAACCTGTACTTAGACCAAGAGGTAGTCGTTCAAATAGAACAAGGGGATACTGCATGATTTAAAGTCAGGAAAGGTGTGCATCAGGGTTGTAACCTCTCACCATACTTATTCAATCTGTATGCTGAGCACATAATCCAAGAAGCTGGACTATATGAAGAAGAATGGGGCAACAGGATTGGAGGAAGACTCATTAACAGCCTACATTATGCTGATGACACAACCTTGCTTGCTAAAAGTGAAGAGGACTTGAAGCACTTGCTCATGAAGATCAAAGGCTACAGCTTTCAGTATGGATTGCACTTCAACATAAAGAAAACAAAAATCCTCCCAACTGGACCAATAAGCAACATCATGTTAAACAGAGAAAATATTGAATTTGTCAAGGATTTCATTTTACTTGAATCCACAATCAACACCCATGAAAGCAGCAGTCAAGAAATCCAAGGACACATTGCACTGGCAAATCTGCTACAAAAAATCTCTTAAAGTGTTGAAAAACAAAGATGTCACCTTGAAGACTAAGTTGCTCCTGACCCAAGCCATGGTGTTTTCAATTGCCTCCTATCCTTGTGAAAGCTGGACGATGAATAAGGAAGACCAAAGAAGAATTGACGCTTTTGAATTGTGGTGTTGGCGAAGAATATTAAATATACTATGGACTGCCAAAAGAACGAACAAATATGTCTTGGAAGAAGTACAACCAGAATGCTCTTTAGAAGCAAGGATAGCGAGACTACATCTCACATACCTCAAACATGTTATCGGGGGGATCAGTCTCGGAGAAGGACATCATGCTTGGTAAAGTAGAGGGTCAGCAAAAAAAAGGAAGACTCTCAATGAGTTGAATTGACACAGTGGCTGCAACAATGGGCTCAAGCATAACAACGATTGTTAGGATGGCTCAGGACTGGCCAGTGTTTTGTTCTGTTGTACATAGGGTTGCTATGAGTGCTATGAGTCGGATTGGACTTGATGACACCTAACAACAACAACAACAGTGGGATGAACTAGGCAATACTCTGCCCCACACATACACCCTCTTCCCTATGGCATGCTAGAGTGGGTGGTTGTGAGTATTGTTGAATGCTGTTTGGTTCAAGTTTATTTTACTGCAAGCAGATGAATTTTTAAGAGGAGGAAGCAGAAGCCTAGAAAAAGTGGGTGGTGGGAGTGGGGAGAGAATAGTGAATACGTTAGCTGCTCTAGGGGAACTCTTATGAAAGAGCAAAGATATTGATAGGAGAATGAAGAGAACATTTTGGTGTGTGGCATTCTTCATCTTTCCCTGAAATCGCGAGTAAAATTGACATTTTCCCATGCTTTGAAGTTGTCTTTTGGGCTTTGTGGGATGTGATGGTGCGCTAAAACTGATCTCTAGGTGGACACAGTGTGAGAACAAGTTTGGCTCAAGCCAGCCTGGTTGCATATGTGTTACAGTGGATAAAGTCTAAGTTACAGGAATAAGATCTACTTCCCAGGATGGCTGTAGGGATTAGATAATATATGTATACCACTGTGATGGCCTTTTTGACATGTCAACTTGGCTAGGCTACAGTCCCCAGTTATTCAATCAAATACTAATCTAGGTGTTGCTGTGAAGTTATTTTGTAAATATGATTGAAGTCCATAATCAGTGACTTTAAGTAAGGGAGATTATCTAGATAATCAGGTGGGCTTGATTCAATCAGTTGAAAGGCCATAAAAACGGAACTGAGGCCTCCCTGAAGAAGAAGAAATCCAGCCTGTGAATAGTAGCTTTGGCTTGTGCCAGAGAGTTCCACCCTACCCTTCTAATAGCCTGCTCTTCATGATAGTTTGCCTTACAGTTTTCAGACTTGCTTAGCCAGTCCTCACAACAGCATAAGCAAATTCCTTGCAATAAATCTCTCAATATGTATCTCCTCTGGTTCTATTAATTTGGTTGAGCCCTGACTAATATAACCACCTAGCCCAGAGCTAGGCTCTTAAATGGAAGCTATTTATTAATACCCAATTACTATCATTATAAATTAAATACATAATATACGTTCCGAGCTGAGCCTTTGTGTCTGGCTCTGTGCTAAGCTTCAGGAAAACAATGGAGAACAAGACAGGCAGGTAATCTCCCTCAGTACAGACACATTGAGATAACCGACTAGGCCTGAGCTGCCAGACGACACTGGCTGGAGGGACTGACTGGGTGATTTTGCTGCTGCTGGAGACTGGTTCTTCTTGGGCTTGCAGCTGGGTTTCTGAGGCTCTCCTCTAGGCCTGAGTATGGCTGGATGCTGAGACTGGGTGGTAACAGGCCAGCTGTAACACTGTGACTCTGATAAAGACTGGATAACCAGGAACACAGATTGACTGACCAGGACCGCGAGTGAGCACGCCTGTGACTACTGGGCAACCACAACCCTGGCCCCAGCTTCAATGACCTTGATTTCTTGAGACCAAGGGACTATGGCTGGTGCGTTTTGGGAAGGGGATGTAAAATGCACAGTTTAATGACAGTTTTTATCTACAATTTAGGAACAAAAAAAAGAGTAGCTAAGAGTACAAAGAAACGACATTTGATGGGCCGGAACCTGTGGGCAGGGACCATTCTTCCACCACCGAGAGCTCCACCGGGCCGCTTTCTCCGTTGCTCCGGTCCGACTCTGAAGCGAGCGAACTTCCGCTGCGCTTCCGCGGTGCGGGAGCTTGGGGTGTGGCGTGAGCTGGTGAGTGTGGCCTCGTGGCTTCTTTTTCCTTCTCTGCTTTCGTTGTTTCCGTGCGCGGGGCCACCCGTCTTCCCGACCCGGGGACCGTGGAGTACCCTGAAGTAGGCCACCTCGCCGAGGCGGCCGCCTCCCTGTCTGTGGGCCGGGTTGTGGGACGCTGGGGTCTCTGGAGGTCTTTTTCCCTAAGTAACCGTCTTTAGAGATACCGTCCGCCAGGGCTTCCTGGGGCAGACGGGTTAACTTCGCTTTTTTCTTAACTTTAGAGCTTGGGTTCCGGAGACCTTGGCTGCGCCTGACCTGGCTCTGCCCTACCCTATGTGTGACTTCGGGAAAGGTCTTTCCCCGCACCAAGCTGTTGTTTCTTGTTTACAAAATGAAGATCATAGTTTTATTAAATAAATGTTTATCACGTGTCTAATATGTGCTAGGGATACAGTGAACAAAAGGACTCGAATCTCGTAGAAGTGACAGCCCTCCATCAAACAACCGTGAGAAGTGAAATGGAGAAGTCGAGGTACCATGAGTGTATATCACAGGATACCTGACCTAGCCACGGGGTCAGGGGTGTCTTTACTGAGTAGGTGATTATAGAGCTGAGATCCGAAAAACGGTTTGGCAGAGAGGGTAGGGAAGAGCATTCTACTCAGGGGAAGTCTCTTGTTTGCAGGTCTGAAAGAGACCATTGTAGCTGAAACAGAGAGCTTATGGGGAAACTTGGTATGAAAGGAAGCTGGAGAGGTTGCCAGGAGCCAGACCATGAAGGCTTTGTAGTTCAGGCTAAGAATTTCGGTTTTCCAAGAACTGCTTGGGAAGCCATTCAGAGGGTTTTAAGTGTGGGTGTTGACATGATTAGATTGGCATTTTGAAAAGGTCATTCTGGGTGTTGTATGGAAAATAGATTGAAAGGGTCAGCCTACTTTTGGGGTGAGGGATAATGGTAGCTTAGTGGTGGTGAGGGAGTTGGTGGAGAGAAGTGGATGGATTTGATTTTCTTTATTCCAGGGCTATGAGGAACTCACAGGGCTGTAAGTGAGATTGATTGGTATGCTGTAGAGTTCTGTGCATATTCAGTAAACTTTTTCCCAGCATTTCCTCTGCAGCAGGCCATGTGCTGGCTGCTGGAGATACAGAGAATTACAGGCTGGTGGAATAAGAATGAAAGAAATCATCATTATCAAGGAGGAGCACACAGATGCCACAAGGGGAAATGGGTAATTAACTGATCAGCAATTTTCCTAAGTGGGTTATCTGTTCATTCAACAAATATTTATTAAGTGCAGTTTTGTATTCAAGGTATGGGATAGAAAGATGAAGATACAAATTATTTAGAATAGTCACTTTCAAACTTTTTTGACTGTGACCTACAGTGACAAATAAATTTTGTGTCGCAACCAAGTGTACGTGTACACACACACGCACAGAGTTTCAGAAAACAAGTACTTATCCTTACTACTTGTGATGGACTCTAATTTTTTTTTTTTTTTTTTGGTTCAGTTCTTTTCATTAAAAGAAAATGTTGATTGAGACTCTCTAAATTGATTTTGTAACCCATTAATGGATTGTGAGCTGCAGTTTGAAAAATAGGCAGATTTAGAGAGAGTTATTTGTATTGGTTTTTGAATTAAGAAGATAAAATGTGCCCTCAGTGTTTTTGGAAAAGGGTTAGTCTTCTTTCCCCAGTGTTGTGTTTTGTTTGTTTTAAGGGGGAAAAACAGTAAACAGGATTAAACAGGCAGCTTGTTGTTTGTGAAATTTTAGGGTCTTGGTTGTACATTCAGCTAGAATGTAAGTGCCTTGAGGGCAGTGACTGTCTTACTCTGTGGATGTTTCCTCTAGTGTCCAGCAAAGATCTGGCACAATACAAGACTCAGTGAACATTTGTTGAATTGAATAGGTAGGTGTATTGGGACTAGATGGTTAGATAATTGTTTGGTTTAAATTAGCTCATGCTGGAATTTACAGAGGTTTTATCAGCGTGTCCTTATGGGTAGTTCAAAGGTAGGTGAAATAAACATTCTAAGCCCTTTCTGTTGTGAACGTTGATCTTAGGCTGGCCTCGCCACTTGAATCCGTTCTGGGCGAGTAACCCAAAGCTGCTACTGACTGGGCCCTTTGGGAAGATGTTTCACCCCCTGGATTTTAGGGGGTTTTTTACGAGTAAAAGGAGAAGGGGAGTTTGTGGTTGAAAAACTCTCAACTCCTCAAACCTTTTGTGGATTTTAGATGCTGTGCATCCACTTTCAATAGTGTCCTAGCTGTAACCTTTTGTCAATTTCTCAGCCTTCCCAGAGGTTTGTGGAAAACTGGGTATACACTTGATTTAATCAGCCTCCCAACTTTTGTGAGACTCTCCAGCAATAGGTTTTAGGCAGAGTTCTAGTTTAGGACGGACTCTGTTGTGAGAGAGCACTCTGAGTCGATCTTAGGAGTGAGCAGGGAGCAGAACACTGGTCTGGAGGGCAGGCTACCCAGGTTCTAATTGGGATCTTTGTGTGACTGTGAGTATATCACTTCTCTTTAATCTATGTCTTTCTAGCTGTGAAGTGAGTGTTCTTGCTCATTAAACCAAAACACAAAAATCCTCTTCTCTCTGAGCATTGTTTTCTCATCTGTCAAATGGTACTCATGATTCCGGCCTGGGGGATTGTGGTGAGGATTACGGGAGATTATTATGTCAGGGGTCTGCTTCAATATCTGGCACAGAGACTGCTCAGCAAATGTAGCTTTCTTCCCCAAGTTCTATTTAACTCTGATTTCTTTTTTTTTCAGCTGTTCTGGAAGAAAAAGAACAAGGATTCTCCTCTTGAGCATCCACGACCGGCCTCATGGCTGCCATGCAGATGGATCCTGAGCTTGCCAAGCGCCTCTTCTTTGAAGGGGCCACTGTGGTCATCCTGAACATGCCCAAGGGGACAGAGTTTGGCATTGACTACAACTCCTGGGAGGTGGGGCCCAAGTTCCGGGGCGTGAAAATGATCCCGCCAGGCATCCACTTCCTCCACTACAGCTCAGTGGATAAGGCCAATCCCAAGGACGTGGGTCCTCGTATGGGCTTCTTCCTTAGTCTGCAGCAGCGGGGGCTGACAGTCCTGCGTTGGAACACAGTCCAGGAGGAGGTGGATCTGTCTCCAGCCCCGGAGGCTGAGGTGGAGGCCATGAGGGCCAACCTCCAGGAGCTGGACCAGTTCCTAGGACCTTACCCATATGCCACACTCAAGAAGTGGATTTCACTCACCAACTTCATCAGTGAGGCCATGATGGAGAAGCTGCAGCCTGAAAGCCGGCAGATCTGTGCCTTCTCAGATGTGCTGCCTGTGCTCTCCATGAAGCATACCAAGGACCGGGTAGGGCAGAATCTGCCGCAGTGTGGCACAGAGTGCAAGAGCTACCAGGAGGGCCTTGCTCGGCTGCCTGAGATGAAGCCCAGAGCTGGTACAGAGATCCGCTTTTCAGAGCTGCCCACACAGATGTTCCCTGATGGTGCCACACCGGCAGAGATAACCAGGCACAGCATGGACCTGAGCTATGCCTTGGAGACAGTGCTCAGCAAGCAGTTCCCCAGCAGCCCCCAGGATGTGCTTGGTGAGAAGGAGCAAGGCCCTTTGGGTATGGGCTGTGGGATTTTAGGATAGGAGTTATAGAATCTTGGGTTATCTAGTCCAATGGCTCCTAAACCTGGCTAGGCAGCCATGTCCCAGTACACTTGTTAAAGATGCAGGTGCCTAGGTCTAACCCCAGGAGACTTCGATTCAAGAGATCTGGAGTAGGGCTCTAGCTGTCAATCTGTCTGTCTAATAAACAGGCACCCTATGTGAACCTCAGGCAATCCTTTGTTTGGGAACCACTGATGTGGCCCAGGCCATCATTTTACAGATTGAGGACCAGAGAGGGAAAGGATCTGGCCAGCTGAGTGGTCAAACTGAGACCAGAGCCCAGGGCTCCTAGACTGTTTTTAGCCAGACCTGTTTTTTTAGTAGCTTCCCACCTGCTTCCTCAGTTTGCTCCTGACTCTTTAAAGATGTTGTCTCTCCACTGGCTTAGACCTGACAGTGATTTCTTTAAATTGTTATGCTTTTTATTGTTGGGCTTTTTTTTTTCCTTATGAAAAAAATAATATATATTCATCATAGAAGAAAAACAATAACAAAAATCACTCCAAATACCACCACCTAGAAATAACCATTTTAACATTTTGGTGTCTTTACTTTCTATCTTCTTCTATATATGTCTGTGTATTTCATTTCAATCTTTTCTTTATAGCATTTCCTTGTCATTTTTTATTCAGTTATATGTGTTTGTGTGTATATATACTTTTTTACAAAAATAAGATTAAAGTATGTATTTTCCAGTCAGCTTTAAGAGAAACATTTTTCCATGCCACTGGATCAGTAATTCTATTTTAGTGGTTAGTTAGTGTTCCATAGTTTATTGAACCAGTCCTCTGCTGATGGGCCTTTAAGATGTTCCTGTTTTTCCCTATTATAAATATCATCTAAGGAACGTCCTCGGGTGTACTTATGCACACATTTAGGGTTAGAAGTGTTGGAGCAGAGTCTGCATTTCAGCTTTTTTATCCTCTCCAGCAAGTGAGAGCCTGTGGCCATCACCTTTGACAGCTTTGGCCATGGTGATTTAACACAGGTAGTGTAGTGGTTAAAGTGTTTGGCTCCTAACCAAGCGGTCTGTGGTTCAAACCTACCAGCTGCTCTGCTGGAGAAAGATGTGGCAGTCTGCTTCTGTAAAGATTTACAGCCTTGGAAACCTTAAACGGCAGTTCTACTCTGTCCTAAAGGGTTGTTCTGAGTAGGAATCGACGTGACAGCAGTAGGTTTTGTTTTTTTGGTTTTCTTGCAACTGAATGGTTGAAAAATGGCATCTTGTTTTGATGTATATTTCTTAGATTACTAGTGTCAGCCAGCAGTCTTTACATCTTTAACAGCTATTTATATTTTTTCTTTTACAAATTGTCCAGGTAATGTGCATATTTTCCTGCAAAAGGAAGGTTGGTGAGAGATTTGAATATAGGGCCTTTTATATCATTGGCCCAGCTGATAAAAAGGGACAGTTTAGTGGGTACGTCTTAATACATTCCACAGCATTTTTGTTTCATAATAACACTTGAAATTCTGACTTAAAAAATGAATAGAAATCCAGTTTTCTACCTGTTAAACATTTCGGTTCTTCAAAGTATATCTTGTGAAAAGGTCTGTTACAGGGATAAGTTTCAATCTACATGACAGTGCTTTGAAATTATTTCTGATCCGTAATTTAATTTTAGTCTAGGCTAGAAATGCATGAATTTAAATAAATGCCCTAAATTCAGGGAATAAGCTGATACTTAGTTTCACAAACTAACCAGGCAAAGCCAACTGAAGAAGCAAAAGTGCCTCTGTTATACAAAGAAAATTTGATTATATTTTGAAAATATTGATCAAACATCTACAATGTTTAGACCAGGCAGCTGTTCACACAAATCAAGCCTAAGAACAGGGAACTAGCTTTTTTAATTCTCTGGAGGTGACAGAGATTAAACGCAGTGCATTTAAAGAGGTATTTGGTGTTGAGCACATCTCTTTTTTCTGGCTTACATGTATGTATACCACAGAAGCCCTCATTAAATTTACAGGCACCTTTGAAGTCAGGGAGAACAGCTCTGACCACCAACATAGCGACCCCAGGTGCAACAGAACGAAACATTGCCTGGGGCAACCAGAGGACTAGTTGTTGCTTATCCAAGGACAGTGGCTTCCGGATCAGCAGGTTTCTGTTTGATACAGGTGTCTGGTAGAAATATGGGAATAATAACTAATATTTATTGAGTGGTCTGGTGCAAAAGACCTCTTTAAAGTATTAAAAAGCAAAGATGTCAACTTTGAGGACTAAGATGCACCTGACCCAAGACACAGTATTTCGGTTGCCTCATATGCATGCGAAAGCTGGACAGTGAATAAGGAAGACCAAAGAAGAATTGATGCCTTTGAATTATAATGTTGGTGAAGAATAGTGAGTAAAGCATGGACTACCAGAAGAACGAATAAATATGTCTTGGAAGAAGTACAGCCAGAATGCTCCATAGAAGTGAGGATGGCGAGACTTCGTCTCACATACTTTGGACATCTTAGCAGGAGGGACCAGTCCCTGGAGAAGGACATCATGCTTGGTGAAGTAGAGGGTCAGCGAAAAAGGAAGACCCTCAACGAGGTGGATTGACACAGTGGCTGCAACAGTGGGCTCAAACATAGCAATGATTGTAGCACAGCAAGACTGGGCAGTGTTTCGTTCTGTTGTACGTGGGGTTACTATGAGTCGGAATTGACTCCACGGCACCTAACAACAACAGTTGAGTGCTACTGTGTGCCAGGCATTATTCTAAATGCTTTACATGTGCTACACTGATTCATTTAATCTTCACTGCAGCCTTCAAATAAAGAAATTCAGGCATAAACGGATTAAGTAATTTGCCCAAGGTCACACAGTTGCTGAGTATTGGAACTGGGATTTGAACCCAGCAGTCTGGCTCCAGAGCCCATGCTCTTAGTCACCAAGCTACCTAGACATTAAATCATGGAGTCTTGTGATTAAACAAGGAAAAATAATCTGGCTGGCAGGTTAGCTGCTGGAACAAGTACTCATGAATTTTCCTGTTCTGGGAGGCTCTCAAACTCTTTCCACCCAGTAGGGAATCTGTTTTATCTTTCCATTGTTTACGTTGCCACAGCACTAGATGTGTGACCTTGGGCAAGTCCCTTAACCTCATCTCTAAAATGAGGTAAATACCACCTTCCCTGACCACCTCATGGAGCTGGGCTAAGGATTACGTGATGGAATGCAGCATTTCCCTGACCCTGATGCAGACCCTCTGCTTCAGAATCACCCAGGGAGCTTTTTAGAGCTACAGATACTGAGGCTGCATCATCTGTCTTCAGCCAGTCTCGGGATGAGGCTTGGGCAGATTTGTTTTTAGCCAGCTCTCAGTAATTCTCTTAGGCAGCCAGGTTTGGGATCCACTTGTATAATATCGATGGACGCGTTTTGTAAACTTTTAAAATGCCCGGCAAGTATTAAGTATACTTCTTCTCTTGCAGTCTGATTTTACAGAAATCCAAAGCTACAGTTTGGTCTCCTATGGCTTGAATGTACTGCAGTTCAGTAAACATTTATTGAACACTTGCTAGGTGCAAAACCCTGTGCTAGGTTCTGCAGGAGTAACAAGGATAAAAGGCTACCGGTTGCTGAGGTCCAGTGGAATTGATGGCCTTGTGAACAGCATGAGGTAGATACATGTGCTATGGTGACCTCAATGTAGAATCAGCTGGTCCTCCTCTCCCCCAGAATCATTTCTCCTCTCTGTGCCTTTCAGGTGAACTCCAGTTTGCTTTCGTATGTTTCCTGCTGGGGAATGTGTACGAGGCATTTGAGCACTGGAAGCAGCTCCTAAACCTCCTGTGCCGGTCAGAAGAAGCCATGGTGAAGCACCATACCCTCTACATCAACCTCATCTCCATCCTGTACCACCAGCTTGGCGAGATCCCCCCTGACTTCTTTGTGGACATTGTCTCCCAGAACAACTTCCTCACCAGCACCTTGCAGGTACTGGCACCCAGGAGGGTCAGAATTAAGGCAGGGGTATGTGGAAGGACCCTCAGGAGGGTTACTTTTTGTTTCTGCTGTTCTTCTAAGACCCAGAGGTTTCCTAATTTTAATTTCCTAATCTTGGGATGTTTCCTGTTCTATCTGCCTGCTTCATTGTAGGCTCCTTGATGTTAGAGACTCTGTGTACCACCCTCTCCCCACCCTACCCCCAGAGTGCCTAGCACTGGAGTACTTGGGATTTGAATCACCTCCACCCCTTTGAGTTACTCCCTCGAAACAGTTTTTGCTTTTGTTTTTTTACCCTGTAGCCGCAGGTTGCAGCAACCCAGTAGGGCAGAGTTTTGAAGCTTGTTATTCCCAGTGAAACATCTGCAGCTCCTTAGATCTCATTTAAATGTTAAAGTAACTTTGATTTCCTGTTCAAACAAAATGTGCCAGTTTCTGCAGAGATTCTCTGACAGAAAAAGTGAAATTTGCTTTTAACTTGGCAATTAAATTTTCATTATGAGTAGTAATTAGGGAAGAAGCTTCAAACAATTTACAGTCTTCATCCTGTGCTATTTCCTCCTTTTGCAAACAGATTAGCCTCCCTTATGTACTTGGGGCAGCCTCTGCCACTCACATTTTGTAACTTTCTCAAGTATAGAAGAGGCAGAAGCTGCAAGCTGTCAGTTTCCATACTGTCTCACCCTGTGTGAGGTCCCTATGAGGCCTGGTCCACACAAGGTGGCTCTTCATTAACCTCCCACTCCTACCCAGGCTAAGGGAAGGAACGAACACGCACGAAGTGCCTGTTGGATGTTAGGCACTGTGTTTATCACATTACGTGAGTTCCCTCATTTCGTCTCTTTGGAACTCTGTAAGGCAGGGAGGATTATTTCCATTTTACAAATGAGAAAATTGAGACTCAGAAAGGTTAACTCATTTACTTATGGTCACACAGCTGTTAAGTGGCAGAGTCAGAGTTTGTACCCAGGCCTGAGTCTTGGTTTAATGCCTGTGCTTATGTCCTTATGTACTGAATGCCATGTGGGTCCCCCCCTCCAAGAGCATTCTTGATTGACCTTAGTGGAGACACCATCAGGGGCCTGTCTTCTTAGAGGTTCCGGATGCTTCTAAAACCAGCTTACTGTTGGCAGAGTCCCTGTAAGTAGGCAGCTGACTTAAAGCTCTGGCAGTTAGTAGACTGGTGCAGACCAGGGGGATGAGTCAGTCAAGCTGATGGCTTGAGCCTGGTGTATTCCACTTCAGAAGAGTTATAAAACTCGTTTTATTGGTTTTCGCTATAACAGAGAAATTAAATCCCTTTGTCCGTCCTCTAAGGGGAAATCTTCCCCCAAAGTTACTGGGTTGTGGGTTGTAGAACCCTACGGAGGCTGCAGCCCCTGGGGAAGATGTGCTGCCCCCCTGACGTAGTTCATGCTTTTGCACCAACATGGGAGCCCGTGGCTGTAAAAATGGTGCGGCAGGGCCATCCTACCTCCTCTAACTTCACAAGGAGGAAAGAGAATCAAGATCAATAGCCTAAGGCTGATTCCTGTGAGGTGGTGGTCAGACATGCCTCTACCCTCCAACCTTTTAACCAATTCCCTCCCACGGCACTCTATTTCTCTGCTGAGTTTGATAATTCATTGCAGTGGCCACACAGAACTCACAGACAATACTCAACGATTATGGGGTTAACTAGGGAAGTAGCAGGTTACAATTCAGGTTCAAGGATGCTTAGGATACAGTTCTTCAATCAGGACAGCCTCTTCTCAGCCCATAGGCACCCCTCTCTCTGGCCCCTTGGCCTCTGCCCTGCTCGGGCAAGTGTTACAAAGCTCTTTTAGCTCTGCTGATAAGTGCCCGGTGGCATCCCACTTAACCAGTAAGCTGCGGCCAAAGGTGCTCAGCTGTAGCTCCTTGAGTCAGCAAACCAGGCTCCACCAAGTGCCCAGAGGTACCCTATTCTGCCAGCAAGGCTTCTGCCCAAAGGCACTCAGCTTTCTTCCTCCATCAGTCGGGAAGCCCACCACGCTGTCTCTTGCTGGTCTCCTGCCTCTGCTGCTGCTGTTTCTTTGTCCCACTTCTTGCCGTCTTCAGTGTTGCAGCTCTCTCTCTCAGTCTCCTGGTTCCGGGAGCTTCTCCATGCAGGGATCCCGAGTTCAAAGGATGCAACCCACTTCTGGCTCTTCTTTCTTGGTGGTGGTGAGATCCTCCCTTTCTGCCTCTGGGATGGCTCATTTTAAGCCTAGCAGGATGGCAGAACTGACCAATCCCCTTGTTAGGTTCCATATACCTTATTTGCACCCTACAAGGGTGCCATGCACCTTATTTACATTATTAGCAAGCTAGCCAGTCCCCTTGGTGTGCTACAAGCACCTCATTTGCATAGTCTCACCCAGTCATTTGGTGGGAGTTATTGAGCCATATTAAGTAGTTCACTGCACCGCACTGGCTGTCCCATCCATTGTCAACACATCAGACATCTGAGCTCTGACTGCCAAGGCTTTGTTGCCAGCAATGATTTTCCAAGCAGAAAGGTCCCAGCTGGATTCCTAGATGCCCAGGTGGGGTGTGCAAAGCTGATGGTTGGAAAAATTCTGTCTTTGAACTTTCTACCAAGGTAATTTGATGTCGTCGTATGGAAAAATCCAGAAAAAGTGCATTTAAAAAAAATATATCAACATGTGTTTGAACCTCCTTTATATACAACATACTGCGGAAAGTGTTAAGGAATACGTTTATCAGTCAGCCAGGGTTCCTGCTGTCGAGGGATTTGTTCATTGATTTAGCAGGTATTTACTGAGCATCTGTTGTATACAAGGCTCTGTTCTAGGACTCGGAATATAGTTGTGAACAAGACAGAGTCCCTGGCTTAGAGCTCATATTTGGATGGGAAAGTAAACAAATTAATCTAATAATGCCAGATTGTGAATAGTGTTTTAGAAGGCATTATTTTTACCAGTTCTGATACCAACCTTTTTACCAATTCCCTGCCATGGCACTCTCTACCCTTAGAACCATTTCCCTGGCCTAGGCCTTTTAGTCTCATCTAGGCTACATCCAAGTGTATCAGCCTTATAACTGTCTCTTAGCCTCCATGCTTAACCCTGTCACTCCCTCCACCTCCCACACTGCCGCCTGCGGGGCTACTCTAGATGCAGTTCTGACCCTCTTTCTCTGGGGATTTTCGGTGGCTTCTCATTGCCTAGAAAATTAACATTCCAAACATAGGTTACAAGGCCCATTCTGATCTGCCTCCTGTCTGGTTCTTCAGCTTCTCCTTTCTCTTCCCATTTTCCTTCACCAACTCCAGTGACAGTGGCCTCCTTGCAAGTTCCCAGATGTGCCATGCTGTTTCATGCTTTCTTGAATGAACCTAATTTTCCCTCTACCTGGTATGTACTTACTCATCCTACAAGATGCTCTCAAGGCACCACTGTCTGTGAAGCCATCCCTAATCTCTCTCTCCTTCCCATCCTAGTAGCCTACCTTGTAGTTACCACTGTTACATTGCATGGATTGTGCTTGCCGAAATTAAAATATTGTCTGTCGACTCCATCACTGAGCCATGCGCTCCTTTAAACAAGATCTATTTTTTGTTCACCTGGTTATTTTCAGCACCTAGTACAAGGCCTGACATGTATCTCAGTTTGTGTTATTGTGTGCTTTTAGATGGATGGAGCACATAATTCCTGTGGCAGAGTAAATGGATGGCCCTAATCTGATAGGTATAAATAGCGAAGTCTGATCAAAAGGCATTAGGAGCACCAAAGAGGGAGTGTTTCATTCTGACTGGGGTTGAGATTTGAGGGGATAGAGGGTCAGCAGTGGCTTTATATGAAGGGGGCACTTGACCCATGAGCTTGAGAGATGACTGAGATTTTAACAGGCATAATGTGGAAAAGGATGTTACAAAACTTTTTTTTCTAATGGAGAGTCACATCGATCCCATCTTGGCAGTGAAAATCCAATGCCACGTACGGAGGCACTCACTCAGAGTGTTTGTGAGTGAATGAATCAGCCCATAAAAGCCTTCCTCAGCCAGCTGCCTGCTCTCCCCGCAGGTAGTCAAGTAAGTGGAATTGGCTTGCTTTCTTACTTAGGAGCTTAAATGGCTAGTCACTCATGGAGAAGGACTGATGTTTGTATGTGTAAGCACTTAAAGACAGCCGCATTAATGGCCACTGCCATTAATTTTTTTCAGTTTTCTCATGTGAACCCCCTTTGAACAGATGCCACTGGTTTTTACAAATCCCTTGGATTTACCTCGAATAAAAATTATTTGTTTTACAAAAATAGATAGTTTTTTTTTTTTTCCTAAAGCAACTTAAGTCACCATAATTTGTTTAAAACCACTGAAAGGATAATCTGAATTTATTAGTATGTTAGGAAATGAGTTATGTACAAAATAAGGATTCTTATTGCTGAGTGAATGTAGCATTTAGACATATAATCACAGAACTTTTTTTTTTTTTTTTTTTAGATATTTCTGTCACGGTAGGCCATGTATGATTTCCAGCTTCATTTCTTGCCAATATTCTAAATGCTAGTGTCTATCTTTCAGTCGTGAGGGAAAGCATTGACTCTGACAATGATCTCTATGGTATTTATAATATAACATCAGCCATGATAAATTTCACCTACTTATTGCTACACCTCTTGCCATCTGCTGTCACTTTTGTGCACTTGCTATATATTATCTCATTTAGTCCTCACAACAATGCTAGAAGTTAGGTATATAATCCCAGTTTACAGATGAGGATCAGGATCAGAGTGGTCACATAATTTTGCCCAAGATCGCAGAGCTGGTGGGTGTCAAGGCTGAGCTTTGAAGTATAAAGCCTGTGGTGGGCTACCATATGATTAGAGCCTGGGCGAAACTTTCCAAATTCTTTAAACCAGCCTCAGAAGAGATTATTCCTAGCGCTTTTCACCTTCTTGGTCATCACTGTGAAGTGATAGTCTTGTTTCTAACACCATTTCTTCTTCTGCAAGGAGAAATGAAATGTCCTACCTCTGGTTAGTGTCATTCTAAGTTGATAATCATTTGGGAATTGAAAAACTAGGAAATTTCATCTCGCTGGTCTAGTCAAAAAAAAAAAAAAAAGGATAAAATAGTGACTCAGCTATCTACCTTGATATTTTACATTTCTCAAGATGACCTGACTGAACTCAATTTATTTGAGTTAAAAAAGCTTTCACATTTATGATTAATCTTCAGTTTTATAATACACAGACTCAGTGGTTAAAGTATTAATAATTTTTTTTTTACTTGAAGAAAAACACTCAATGGGTGTGCTTTTTGTTTTAGACAAGTGCAGTTGTTTGCAAAATGTTATCTTACTTCAAAAATATTATTAAAATATCCAGTATTAATCCGCTGATATAATGATAATTCATTTCTCAGTATTAAAAAGTGTTAACTTGATTTTACTTTAGTAAATAAAATAACCAGATCATTATTAAGTTTTCTGAAGAAGGTATAACATTAATCTGAAAGCAAGAGAATCAAAGTAAGTTATTGCTTGAAATCTAGGTACTGTCTAAACAGCTTCTTTTCAGAATTGTGAAGAATTTTTTAAGATACCAAATTTGTAAAACTACAGGGTAGAAAATAGATCAGTAGATGCCAGGGGTAGGGTTTGACTAACTAAGGGGCAACATAAGGGAATTTTTTGGGGTGATGGAACTAATCAGTATCCTGATCGTGGTAATGGTTTCACACATTCTTAAAATTCATAGAACTGTATACCAAAAAAAATCTAGTATCGGATATATACGTATATATATCTTGGATTATTAGTGGTGGTTGCATGGGTATGTATGTTTGTCAAAATGAATTGAACACTTGTAATGAGCAAATTTAATTGTATGTAAATTATACCTCACTAAAGTTGATTTTTTTTAAAAAAGTCAACCCGGAGTCCCTGAGGCCTGCAGCAGGGACAGTTCCAGAAGCACCTGGCCTCTAAGCCCTCGGCCCCCCACAGGCCAATGCTGGAAAATAAGTAACTAGAATGTATTAAGTCTATGTCAAGATAAAAAGAAGGTTCTCTTGATAGGGAAAAGGATACTGAATTAAGATTTCCCTACTTGGACTGAGTCTCACTCGGCTTTTGTGACTGTCTAGTATGGCACACCCAGCGTCCTCAGCTGTACAGTCAGATTAATGTCCTGTCCTTCCAGCCACCAGGTTTGTAGTAAAGATTAAATCAGCAAGTGCTCTAAAAAAGGATAAAGCATTTTTCAAATGAGAAGCCTTGTTTTTTAGACAGAGGCTTCTGTTGAACCTGCCCCTAGTTAGTTTTACTACCAGGCAGTGTTTGAGAGGTGGGGTGGAGAGGATGGATGATGAGTGTAAGCCCAGCTTGTTCCAGCCTCCCACTGCTGGCCATTGCCAAATACAGGTTGGTCCTTCTGTCTCGTTCATATCTACTTAGTGAGCATCGTATGGCCCCTAACTCTGTGCCAGACCATGGGCGATATGCTGTGTGGGATACATTGATAATCAAGATGCTTTCCCTGCTTGCCGATCACTGTGATGCAAGCACAGTGTAATAAATGCCACAAGAGGGGCTCAGGCACAGTGCTGGGATATGCAGAGGTTGGAGCAGTTCATTTCAGCTTGGGCTTTTATAAGAGGCATGTCACAGGAGGCGGCTTGTGAGCTGGTGACAATTTCAGGGGCCTGGTAAATAAGTCCCTTATTCTGCCTAGCACCGTCACATAGTTATTGAACAACTACTTTGTGCCAGGCACTGTGCAAAAGTGAACCAAAAGTGAATTTTCATAGAATCTGTGGTCTTCATTCTTTCATTCATTAAACATCTGATAGGTGCGTTTTTACCCGTCAGACTGTGCCAGGAGCGTGGAATGCAGGTATGATAAAGAATCACTGCTTTAGAGTTGATCCTTGTCTTTTGGGAGAGATCAGTGATAAATGGACTGTTTGTGAGATTGAGGCTATGATTGAGGTAATCCTGGGTGCTGAGGGAGCACAGAGGAGCACCTGTTCTACTTAGTTACCTAGGTGAAGGAGGAGAAAGCAGAGGGTGGAAGGGTCTTATAAGCAGAGGGAAAAGCATGTGGGCATAGAGACACTGAAGGAAGCAGTAGAGCATGTTTGGGTCACTATTCAACATGGCTGGAGAGGAAGGACTGTGTAGAGCGTAGTATAACTTACTGTGTAAAGAGGGAAACAGGAAGACACCTGTGGTAAGTCAGCCCACTAAGGCCTCTGGGGACAGACCCATGGGTGTGCAGGGCCTCAATAGCTAATGCTGTTTGAAACCGAGGCTTCTCTGCTTCCCATAACAGGCCCCTCCCCTGAGTTACAGCTGTGCTGCAAATTCAGCACTCCTGGGCAGCTGCCTACAGACAGGCCACTGGCTCTCCCTACTGACTTTCTGCCACCGAGGTCACAGAGCCCCTCTAATTAGTTGTTGATCTGACATTTTGTTACGGCTGTGCCTCTTGCTCCTGTATTTAGTCACTTCCCAAGTTAATGAAGCCAAATTCTGTACCTCCCCCACTGTCACTTCTGCCCCAGCTACCACTCCAACAAAATGACTTCAAACAAAGACCACGGAGAATAAGCCTTACTCCTCCTGCTAACAGAAAGATATTGAAGAAGAGGGTGACAGGGGTGTTGTCCTTGGAATGAGCCTCAGAGTGAGCCTGTTGCTCTTGCCAGGTCAGGTCTCTTAGAGTCCAGAATCATTCCATGGTGGACTGAGGGCCGGCCGTGGCGTGAGGATGATGTGTATCAAAGAGCTGCTTCCTTTCTGCTCCTGTGTCGGTGGAGTGGTCCTTGGTAACAGATGGGAAGTCTGAGAAAAACCATACTTCCTTTCTGCATAGTTTTGATCCAGTCATTTAATTCCTCTCAGTCCCAGTTCCTTAAAAATAGAAATTCTAAGTGTATCTTCCCAGGGCTGTGTGTGGATCCAGTGGGATACTCTGAGAAACTGCTTTGAAAACAGTAAAATAGTATAAGGAGTAGTGGGTTTATTGTTATTTTTTAGAGGGTTAGAGAAGAAGTGGAAGACCCTCAATGAGATGGATTGACACAGTGGTTGCAGCAGTGGGCTCAAGCATAAAAACTATTGTTTGGATGGTGCAGGACCAGGCAGTGTTTTGTTCTGTTGTACATAAGGTCGCTATGAGTCAGAACTGACTCGACGGCACCTAACAACAACAGGATCCAGGACAAGCTGGAATGGGGGTTTCAGATGTAGAGAAAATTGCTATTATTGCCCCCCTGCCTATGTTTGTATTAGAGGAAACTGAATTAAAAAGAACATTGAAGGCGATTTTTAAGGGGAAGAGAGGCCTCATACTGGCAGTCTGTGGCCCATTTCAAAGATTAGAGCAGCAATTCAGCCTCGTTGGCTTGGGGCCTGGGACTTTATGGGTTCCAGGGACTTATAAGCCCTAAGGCTTTCTTAGTACCAGCTGGTGTAGCTACTGCCTCTTCCTCTGAGTTACTGCCTGGGTACCCTGGTAGATCCCCAGGGAGCAGGACCAGGGTGGTAGCCCCCATTGACCTTACTCTCAGTGGGGACATCTCTGCCCAGGACGGTAATTTTCCATTCTAGTCCTGCCCCAGCTTCTCAGCTGGGTTTGGACTTTTTTTCTTGGTTTGGGGGGAGCACAGCAGGTGTCCTGGGCCCATGCCAGCAGCAGCTGGTCCGCCCGCCCAGCGAGCTGAACACCATGAGGAAATTTCCACAGCCTTCTTGGCCCCCTCTGTGTTCTCAGGAGTGACTTATCCTCTGTTCTCTGTAGGTTTTCTTTTCCTCAGCCTGCAGTGTTGCCGTGGATGCCACCCTGAGGCAGAAAGCTGAAAAGTTCCAAGCTCACTTGACCAAGAAGTTCCGGTGGGACTTTGATGCGGAGCCTGAGGACTGTGCCCCAGTGGTGGTGGAGCTCCCTGAGGGTATCGAAACTGGCTAACTCTGGAAACGCTCTCAGCCACTTCCCACATGGCTGCAGTCCTGGCCTGTCCACTCACCCCTTCCTATCCTGGGACCTGCCAGGGCAGGGATCCCACCAGGATCTAGTAACATGGAGCCAGAGTTCCCTCCTTCACCAGTAAATAAGTTCCTTTGTGCAAAAGAGGCTGTACTCATCCTGAAGGCACATTTGTGGCTTCCTCATCAGCCTGGCATTGGTGCTAACCTGACTGAACTTCCTTCTGAATGAGAAGAAATTGAACCAAAAGCCCAAGAGAACTGATTACTTATTCCATAGGATGGTTAGAAAGCAGGAAACCCCAGACTGCCCACGGGGTCTGAACTGTCATTTGGTGACTTTTAAGTTAAACAGAGGGTAATGAGGAGATGAGCCAGAATTTCTGCCTGCCCCTTGTTGAATGAGGGTATATCACAGAAAACTTGGGCATGTCACCCCTCAGGAGCCCCAGACTGGGGAGACGGTAACACAGAAGAAGTTGGATTGAATCTGACAAGTGGTCAGCTCCAGCTTTCTCCAACTGAATCCCGTTCTCTGGTCCAGAGACCCCAGTGGGTAATCTCCCAAGATTAGTGTGGTATCTGGCCTCAGGGGCCTTGCTGGTGCCACATGCCTCCCATCTATTCAATTCTGAGGCCTCGGACCCCAAAGTGGGACTTGGCAAACCTCCCATGTATCCCTCTTCCTCAGCAGAGCCACCACAACTGTTTCTGATAACCTGTAGATTCAACAGCAAAAAGAAAGGTTCTTGCTCTGGGCAGGCTTGAGGCCTTTTTGAAGTTTTGTGTCTTGTCTTCAGCACTCTGGAGATGAGTTGGTCAGCCTAAATCTTCCCAGTCCTGCTGTGGAACTGCCAGCCGTTGGAGTGATCTATGTGCCCAGTTTCCTGCGAGTCCCGAGGGCCTGCACATCATGCTGTGTGGGCACAGTTGTGTCTCTTGACAGGCACACTAGCCCTGCCACTCTGACCTCAAACCGCTGTGCTATGGATCTGAGTCCCCATGCTATTCTTTCCCAAGACTGGGGCTCACACCAGATTTTTGAATGAGAATCCCTGCTGGTTGAGACTTTCGGTTCCACTTGTTTCCTTGGCAATGTTTTTTTCCAAGGGCATGATGTACATTAAAGTATTTGAGTTGAGACAAAATCCCCTGTGTGAGTCTCTCTTGCAGTCAATCTGCCCGATTCCCAGAGCAGCCAGGCCACTGTCCATAGATGCACATCTCCCTACTGTGTGCCCAGTACCCTGCCCGGTGCAGCCCAGCAGTCCCAAGGAGGCCAGCAGCCAGCACTGCCTCATGTTACCCACAGACAGCTGAGGCAGGGAGCACCGGAAAGAAGGAATGAGGTCCTGTGTCTTCATAATAACCTGCAGTTTCACCGTGTGTGAATTTGCTATTCTTCCCCAAAGTCCACTGATCGAAACTACCTGGGGAGTTTGTTAAAGTGCAGATCCCAGAGGAATGAAGTGCTGATACACGCTATAACATGGATGAACCTTAAAACATTCTGCTAAGTAAGAGAAGCCAGACACAGAAGGCCAGCTACTGTATGAGTCCACTTATATGAAATGTGCAGAATAGGCAACTCCATAGAGAGAAAGCAGATTAGTGGTTACTAGGGGAAGGGGACTGTGAAATGCAGAGTGACTGCTAATGGGTATGGGGTTTCTTTTTGGGGTAATGAAAATGTTCTGGAATCAGATAGTGGTGATGGTTGTACAACCTTGTGAATGCACTAAAAACCACTGATGTGTACACTTTAAAGTGAATTTTATGGAATTATGTCTCAAGAATTTTTAAAAGTGCAGATTCCCAAGTCCCACCCTACAGGGATTTAGAGGTGAATCTGAATGGGGCCTGGGTTCTGAAGCACACTAAATTTTGAGAAACATTACCTAGAAGTAACAGTATTGCAAGTAGTACCCAGGGCCGCATTGGGACAGAATTTGTCTCCCCCTGGCATTTTCAGGATAGCACCTGGAAGTTGATCATGTGACCTTGTTCCCCAGAGTTGTCAGTCTTCCTGTGTCTACATGGACACCCCCCACCCACACACACACTTAAACCAGTGAGGTTAAAGAAAGGTACTATTTACTAAGTGCTGTTACTTCACTTAATCCTCCCAACAACCATGTGTGGTAAGTACTATTGTCCCCATTTTTCTGATGAGAAGATGGGCTCAGAGAGCTTAAATCATTTTGCAAAGGTCACACAGCTGGCAAGTATTGAGAACAAGACTCAAGCGCAAGTTTATTATTGTCCATGGCCCACTCTCGGCCACTGAATTCCACTACTAAGATTTACTCCAGCCCTGCCCTTGCCTGTCCAGGGCAGCCTTTCCCTCCACCCTGCTCCTCCAGATCCTCTCTTGGCCCTGCTGGCAACCTGCTGTGTGGTCTTGGGCAATCTACTTAAGTTCTTTGGGCCTCAGTCTCCTAGTTGACTTGGATTCAGATTTTCTGACATAGATTCTCCAGGCTCTTCCAGGTACTTAGAAGTGGATGTTTGTGCTATTTTAAATTTTTTTCAAAAGAGAAAATGCACATTTACACAGGATAATATGGCTGGGCTGACAAAACAAACAATAGGTCTCTTGTTTGGGGCTGGAGTAATATCGTCTCCCGGTCTTCTACTTGTTGCAGCTGGCAGCCCTCTGCGTGTCTTTGATGAATAAAAAATGTGAAAACAAATTAATTATTACTTAATACTTGCAGTATTTTTGGAAGGCAAGAGCCTTCCAAACTGAGAACCAGTGGCATTGCTGATCTCTAAGCTCTCTTCCAGTTCTAACACATGTAAAAGTGAAGCGATTGAAAGGACCTGGCCTAGTTTTATAACCCCTCAAATGTAGGCCTCCCAGGGTCTGACTCTTATGTGCAAGGATGGCTTATCCTATTAACAAAATCAGCAGAGGTAGCGACTTTCCAACCCCTTCTTCTGTCCCTGTGACAAACCCTCACTGCTCCGGGCCTCCCTCCGTCTAATTTCTCACCACTTGAGCAGTGGAGGAGTTCCCTGTGATTGATTGCCTCTTACCACCGGTAATTATTTTCCCAACACCACCCCCTTGTAAATATTATTTAATATTCCAATGGCACTGTGACATGTTGGTCTCTCCAGCTAATCAGACTTTGACTTGACCGGGAAGCCATCCCCTGCTGAAACGGGGGCTGAAAATGCAGAATGAATGAAGCGGACAAAGCTAGCACTGAGTCACAGCTGCTAGACTGAAGGCAGAACAGAGGGGGACCACTCACCTGGACTCACTGGCCATCCTGTGAGGCTGTGTCGTCCTGCGATTCTGCAGAGCCTCTTTTTGCTTCGTCCCCTGCAGATCAGGGTGCTTCCTCACCTTAGAGTTCATGGTATCTGGTGCAGGCAGGGTTTGTTTCCTTCTGTCTCTGGAGTGTCCAAAGTCTCCTGTGCTGCCCATTTTCTCTCCCTAACCCTGGGCTCCTGCTGTGTACTGGCCACCCTGCTGAGATGTGGGATGAGAGCCAGAAATAATGTCAGCTGCTCACTGCTGTGGTGGGGAGGGCGGAGCATGATCTTAAATCTGGTGTCCGCCCTTGCCCCGTCTGCCAGGCGTCACACACAACCTGTTTTGCCAGGTGCTCTGGATCTGGTGCTCACCCCTATAGACTCACTGGATTTCTCTGGAAAATGGGGATCCTGATGGTTGTCTTGCTATTTGTTAAACTGCTTGGTGGCAGGAAGGTAGAAGGAGGGAGCTCCCCACTGGAGTTGTCCAGTGTCAAATGGCCACTGTGAGAGAACTCAACAGGTCCCTCTTCCTTGGATCTCTGTCTTGTTTCTTCCCTCCCAGAATTTCTCCATTTTTCCTTTGTCCACCTCCAAAATTTTTTTATCTGGCTCAGTTCTGGGTTCTACACTTCCAAGGGGATCCTGACAGGCAGAGGTATACCTTGAGGAGAGCGAGCATCACGTGAGAAGCAGTGGGACCTTCACCAGAGAGTAGAGCTGCTAGGAGAGCTGTCTTGAAGAGGAGGTCTCTGCATGAGTTCTGAGTGCAGTTAAGACCCGTGGGAGAAGTTACAGGGAGGCCTACCTCAGCTTCTTCAGCCAGCCAGTACTTGCCGAGTGCCTGCCTTGTGCCAGGCACCACCTCCTGCCCCTGTGGAACTTCTGTCCTAGTGAGGGGAGCCAGATTATCAACATAATAAGTAGATTATAGAGTTTGTTAGTTGTGATAAATGCTCTGGAAAAAAAGTAGAGCAGGATAACGGAAGTCAAGAATTCTGACTCTTAAGACAGGGATTGGACTGGACGGTGGGACATAAAGTGATACTCGTGAGGAGTGTGCCTCTTAGCTCAAGTAGATACAAGAGGCTAAATGGGCAGCTTCTGTCTGGAGGTGAGATGGGAAGTCAGAGAGGGTTAGGAGCTGGTTGAATGGACATGGGGAATCTGGTGGAAAGGAGGAGTGTGCTGTCACAGTATGGGGAGAGCAGTTAGAGTCACAATAACAATGTATTAATTTTTGTATGGGAGGAAAAAAGAATTCTGGTAGGGTGAGGGGAAGATGATGTTGTTAGGTGCCATCAAGTCAGTTCCAACTCATAGCAACCCCATGTATAACAGAACAAAGTGTTGCTGGGTCCTACAGCATACTCACAACAGCAGGTATGTTTGAGCCCATTGTTGCAGCCCCTGTGACAGTCCATCTCATTGAGGGTTTTCCTCTTTTTCACTGACTGTGTACTTTACCAAGCATGATGTCCTTCTCCAGGGATTAGTCCCTCCTGATAACATAGCCCAAGTAACGAAGACAAAGTCAAGCCATCTCACTTCTAAAGAGATTTGAAGATGAGCAAGTCAACCATGAGTGTATCTGGGAGAAGAGTGTTCCAGACAGAGCGTTCCAAACAGAGTGAACAATGAGTGCAAAGGTCCTGAGGCAGAAGCATGTCCAATGTGTCAAAGGAACCAGGAGGTCAGTATGGCAGGAGTGGAGTGATCAAAGGAGACAACAGAAGAGGAAACTAGAGAGGTTAGAGAGGGACCAGATTGTTTAGGGCCTATGGGCTGTTGTAGGAGCTTTTCATTTTACTTTCAGTGAAATGGGAACCCACTAGAGGGTTTTAAGTAGACAAGTGACACCATCTGACTTCTGTTTTAACAGGATCACTCTGGTTGCTGTGTTTGGCATAGACCATAGAGGGGCAGGAGTGGAAGCAGGAAGACAATAAAAGAAGCT